GTGCACCTCGAGTTCCGTGATCTGCTCCACCAGCGACGCTCTAGCTGCTTAGGCGCTCTCAAGAGGCGCCGGCAACCAAACTTCTTTCTGGACCCGGCTGGCGGCGACGCCAGATTTCGGGCGCCCACGGGCATGGCCTGGCGGCAAGGCCAGCAGCCCTGAAACTTCCCACGTCGAACCGCGACCCAGGTTCGCCCCCTTTCGGGCGCAGGCCGGCGGCAATGCCAGCCACCGCGCGCACGCAAACCACCCGCGCCCACGCCCGCCGCGAAGCTGTTGCCTCGGGGGCGTCGCCCGGCGGCCAGGCCAGCGGCCCCGGCGGCAGTGGCGGCCGTCGGACGCCCGCAGGGTATGCGCGCCTATTATGCGTTGGTGATTCCGCCCTGCGGCGCCTATTATGCGTCGGCGATTCCGCCCTCCAAGACGCTGAGCTGGAGGGCCTGCTCGCCTGGTCGGAGGCAATGACCTCCAGGACGCGGCCCGGCGGCTGCGCTGGCAACCACGAGCACCTTCCCCCCTGCGAGGCAAGTCAGAGCATAGCCCGGCAACGACACTGGAGCTTCTGTCCTACAGGACACAGCCCAGCGGCAACACTGGCGGTCCTGCGCACCTTTCCGAGCCCGGCCGGCCATCGGCGACCCTGGGCCCCAAGCGGCATCCCGCGGTCACCAGCCGCCCGCGACCGCCAGCGGGGCCTCGAGCAGGGGCTCGCTGCAATGAGGGGGGACGCGGGGTGGCCCTGGAGAAACTCTGAACATCCGCTACTGGGGGGGCACCCATGTTCAGAAGCTGTCCAGGCCCACAGGTGGCCAGTCTCGCGCGTGGCAGCTGGGGCGAAGCAGCGGGATGCAAGGCTTTCCGCGCTGGTAAGCACCTCGGGAATGCACCCCCGGTTGGCTGACTACGGCTTGCGAAGCGGGGGCCCCGTTCCTCGCGCGTCGCGCGGATGGCCCCGGGCGCCCTCGAGACAACCCCTAGGGGCCTGAAGAAGGCCCCAAGAATGGCCCGAAAGGGCCCCAGGAGAGCCTCGAGAGGGCCGCGCAACCTGTCACGAAAACGGGCCTCGTTCGTGACAGGCTGTTGGGCGCTCTTGGAGCTCTCACGAGGCGCTCCATGACCGCGCTGGAGAGGCTCCAAGTGAGCCCCGGGAGGCCCCCAAGAGGGCCCAACAACCTGTCACGAAAAGGAGCCTTGTTCGTGACACTTGGAGCTCACGTGAGGCTGGCCAACACCGCACTGGAGAGCCCAAGAGGCCCCCGTGACGGCCCTCCCTTTTTTTGGTTGGGGGGGCAGCGAGGCTGGCGGCCCTGCACATTCTCCATGGTTCACCCCCACACTTCGTTCCTCAAGGGTCGGCAGCGCCAGATTGCAAGCCTGCCGCGCCGTTTCTGCGCGCAAACCCCGCCGCGAGGCAGATGCCTCAAGAACGCTGCCCGGCGGCAAGGCCAGCGGCCCTGCCTGCACTCTCCCACGTTGAACCGCTCCCAAGGTTCGCCCCCTTATTGGGCGCTGGCTGGCGACAGTGCCAGCCATCGTGCGTCCATATACTATGCGGAACTACCCCTGCGCGAAGTTGTTTCCTCAAGGACGCTGCCCTGCGGCAGGGCCAGCGTTCCTGCACATTCTCACGTCCAATCAGAAGGTTCGTCCCTGTTTCGACACTGGATGGCGGCAGTGCCTGATGTCGCGCATCCAGGGATCATTCACGCTCACCGCAATTGCGAGGCAGTTCGCCTCGAGGACACAGCCGAGCAGAAAAGTTGGCCGTCCTACACTTTTCACGTCGAACCGCTACCGAAGTTCGTCACTTGTTTGGACGCTGGCTTGAGGCAGTGCCTTCAAGCGTACGTCCGCAGGCAATGCGCGCCCACCCCCGTCGCGAGGCTGTTGCCTCAAGGACGTTGCCCGGCAGCACGGCTGGCAGTCCTGCACGCCCTCACGCTGCACTCCCTGACGGAACGCATTAACCTCTGGAGGTATTTAGTCGTGGGACCCCCCCTTGTTTCTCTCGGCGGTAAGGTCGCTGAAAACAGAATCAATGATCACTGCTGGGTTAACCTCTGGTATTTAGTCGTGGTTGTTTCTCTCGGCGGTAAGGTCTGAAAACACTTCACTGCTAAAAACTTGTAGAGGTTAGTACGTGCCTCGCAGTCCTCATGTTTTCTTGTTCATGGTTGTTGAAAGGCTTTCCCCCGAAACCGCCAGCGCGGCGGTCGGCTATCCTGTGGAACATGCCCCTCTGGTCACTCCACTGCGGAGACAGCGGCGGCAGTGGAAGGGGGCCCGCCCCGTCCTCCCAGGTGTGCGCCCCGGCCTGCCTCATGGCTGCCTACACGTGCCGAGCCTGGGGTGGCGATCCGACCTGCGATGGCGCAGGTCGTGTCACCCCTTAGGTGGCGTCCCAGCCTGCTGCTGAGCAAATCCACATGCTGCCCCGATGCGGAGCGGGTCCCCCCCGTCGCCGCCAGGACGGCGCTCCTCCCTGCGGCGCAGCAGGCGCACGTGTCCCAACCAGGGTAGTAAGCCGTCCTGCCTTGTGGCCCATGGTGAGTTACCCCGGACCCCCCTACTAGGTCAGGGAGCCAGCGTCTGACGCTATTCTGGGTGATGCCAGCCATCCTCTGATCAGAGGTCCGTCGAACAGCCAATCTTCTGGGGATGCCAGCCCCGTCAAACCTAAATGTGTCGAACAGAGGTGGCTGTCGCGGGGTACGCTCACCACGCATACCATCCACCAACACCAGATGCCAACAACAGTCCCTGCACAGGCTTTGGGACCAGAAGGTTTGTCGGCCCAACCTTCACGAGCACCTTCACAAGGTTATGCCTATCTTCACGGGCATCAGCACTACGCTGAAATCCTCCTCCTCCTCCTCCTCCTCCTCCTCCTCCTCCGCCTCCTCCTCCTCCTCCCCCCCCATCCTCCTCCTCCCCCTCCTCCGCCTCCTCCTCCTCTTCCTCCTCCTCTTCCTCCTCCGCCTCCTCCTCGTCCTCCTCCGCCTCCTCTTCCTCCTCCTCGTGGCCTCCTCCTTTTCCTCATCTGAAGGGGGGGGGGGAGGGGGCGCCTCCTGCAGAGGCTGGCCGCACGCCTGCTCCGCGTCCTGGGGCGGGGGGGTGCACGGTTTCCCCCGGGGCCGAAGGCGACCCGAGGAGGAGGAGGAGGAGGAGGAGGAGGACGAGGAGGAGGACGAGGGTAGGATGTGTTCTCAAGTACGGTTGCACGACTGCAGGTTTTGCCCTGTCCGTTCGAGGCCAGCAGCAGGAGGATCCTGCGCACTACCTGCCAATGCAAGTTGTTACCTCCTGGTTTGACTGGTCAACCAGAATCCCGAGCTGCACAAAGCAATAGGTAAGAGATGGACTCCCACCGTTGCTCGGCTGGCAGGCAGGCGGAGATGGAGCAAGGTTACCTCCCTCTTCTCCGCCCTGATCGCTACCCTCCATGACTTAGACGTGTACCTGGTGGGGCCCTGGGGATGGATTTTACCTCGTGGGAAACGATTTAAACTGGTTCCTGGAGACCTCAAGGCCCAAGCTGCTTTCCTGGACGACTTCAGCGAGCACGTGTCCAGGGCCCTCTGGGAAAGGGCCTCACAGCTTCACCTTGGAGGGGACGCCGAGTATGGGATCGATACCTTCCAGTTCCAGAAAACCTGCTGAAAGCTTCGGAAAGATGAGCAGCCTACCCGTGCCAAAGCACTGTGCGCCCTGGGGAAAGCATCGATTTGGAACGCTCGGATTCACGAATGTAAACCATGCCAGTCTGCCAGACGTGCCAGGTGTGAAGCACCGATTGAAGATGACCTCCACCGCTTCTGGACGTGCCCAGTTTTGCAGAAGAGTACGGATGATGCTATCCTCGACTCCCAGCACCTTGTCCAGAAGGCCATTGATCAGTTCCCCTCACATCCAGTGAAGTGGGGACGAGGACTGCAACCAGCTGGCCTTACCACAGGACACCTGGAACAACACCCACCCAGAGCCACCCTCGGAGCCACGGGGGCCTTCCTGATCCAGGGCAGGCCCATCAAAGGCAAGTTCCTGGTGGGGACGGACGCTAGTGGGGGACGTTTTCCCAATGACCCGAGGCTGAGGAGAGTTGGCTGGGGGGTAGGAGTGAAAGACGCCGATCTCGAGACCGTAGGAACGTTGCGAGGAGGCCTGCCAGGAAAGCAGACCCTCAACCGCGGGGAGCTCTACGCGGTGATCCAGGCCATCCAGAACCTCGCAGGTGAGCTAACCATCGTGACTGAGTTTGCCCTGGTTTAACGTGGTTTCCTGAAAGGACCCCAGTGGAGACATAGGAGTAACGTCGACTTGTGGCAAGATTTCTGGGAGGCCTACCAGGGCTTCGACGGGACCATGGAGTTTCACAAAACCAAGTCTCATCCTATGGAGTCGGATTTCTGGGACTATAATATCCAGCCCTGGGCCTACTTGGCCAACCAGCTTGCCGACCAGATAGCTAGTGACGCTCCTGAACGAGTTTAGCTTCCTGATTGGGTGACCAAGCCAGTTTTAGATGCTGATCGCGAGCTCTCGCTCATCCAGATCCGATTACCTGCCATCCAGGAGTTTTTCTGGGAGGTTTTCCCCGCCCCGCCCCCAGCTCCCAAGAAGAGGGGGCGGGTCAAGGCTCCCAAGAAGGGGGGCCATGCACAGCACATCCTTGAAGAGGTCCCAGGGGGATTGCGGTGCAAAGTGTGTTTTCGGTATCAGATCTCTGGGGCCAAGGAGTCTTTGATTGATGACCCATGCAAGCCTAAGCATGCCCAGGTGTTCCATGAGACCCACCTCCCGCACCTCCATGTCCTCCGTGGGGCTGCCTTTTGTGGGAGGTGCGGGGGGGGGGTCTCAACAAGAGCCTTTCAGTTGAGGGACCCGTGCCGCCCCCCCCCCACAAGCACGGGGAAGCAGGCCAGGTCCAGGATGCTTCGATCGGCTACACGCAAGAGTGACCCTGGGTAAGAGTGACCTTTGGTGCGCGGCCTTTTCGGGGGCGCGGGGAGACCAAACCTGGGCGCGCAAGCCGCTGCTACTGCTTCGTTTTCAGCCATCTGAGGGCCCATCTGTGCCCGCACCAAAGGTCACTCCGGCGAAAGGTCACTCTTACGTCTAGTCGATTCGAGGACTGCTGCCGCATCGACTGCAGCACTGGCCGTGCTCCTCGGCTGCCCGCTCGCGGGAGGACTGCGCGAGGGCCCTCGGAGCACCAGCCCAGCGGAGCACAGAGTGACCCCGCGGTCGGGCCCGTGGAGTGCGAGGACTCCCCTTAGTAGCATGCAACATGCAACATGCAACATGCAACATGCAACATGCAACATGCAACATGGAGGAGGAGGAGGAGGAGGAGGAGGAGGAGGCGGAGGAGGAGGGAGGAGGAGGGAGGAGAAGGAAGAGGAGGAGGAGGAGGGGAGGAGGGAGGAGGAGGAGGAGGAGGAGGAGGTGGAGGAGGTGGTGGGGAGGAGAGGAGGAGGGAGGAGGAGGGAGGAGTCGCCTAGGCCCTTCGGAGAAACCCTCCAGGGGGAGGCACGACGAGGGGCAGCCGCCGCGCCGGCCAGCGGACCGCCCGCGGCAGACGGCGCACTGAGCTCTCCGTTCGCTCACTTGAGTGCTCACGTCGGGACGGCGTCGCAGAGCGTCGTCTCGCCCTGCCCGTGATTCTTCCTATTCCTGCTACTCCTCCTCCTCCTCCTCTTCCTCCTCCTCCTCCTCCTCCCCTCCTCCTCCTCATCCTCATCACATCATCTCATCATCATCATCATCATCATCTCATCGTCATCATCATCATCATCATCATCTCATCATCATCATCATCATCATCATCATCAGTCATCATCATCATCATCCTCATCCTCATCCTCATCCTCATACCTCATCCCCCTCCTACTCCTCCTCCTCCTCCCCCTCCTCCTCCTCATCTTTCTCCTCCTCCTCCTCCTCCTCTTCCTCCTCCTCCTCTCCTCCTCCTCCTCCCTCCCCTCCCTCCCTCCCTCCCTCCCTCCCTCCCTCCCTCCCTCCCTCCCTCCCTCCCTCCTCCGCGTCGCGGGAGTGGAGGAAGAAAACGTTAGCCAGCGTGGATCCCAAACAATAGGTTGTGGCACTGCGGGTGTGCACGCTACGTGGTGCAAGCCATGTGGTGGAGGCTAGCGGCTAGGTGGTGCAGCATGCGTGGTGCAGGCTAGAGGCTACAAAGAAGCGGCAACGGGCGGCAACGTGTCGAAACTTCGCTGGACCAACCCAGCGCACCGAGAGGGGGCGTTCAAGTGGGGGAGTGACAGATCATGGCCAGAGGCACGTCTGCGAACGAGGGGGGCCAAAGTACGCATTTAAGTAGGAAGAGGGGGCCAAGACATCTGGGGAGATGTCATGGCCCCAGCTATGATGTCCACACACCTCTAGTCATCTCCACCCTCGTGGTCGCTCCCAACATTCATTTGGGTGCTCATGTCGCGACGGCGTCCAGGAAAGGTCGAGTGATCAGAAAGAGAAACCGGCATAAACAAATACGTTCCGAGCTTCGCGCGGATCTTTTGCATCGGGGATGGACCCCCTCCCTGGCTCGAGGAGTGCGTCAGGGGCGGCGCCGGAGGCGCCGCCAGGAGGTCCAGCGCCGATCAAAGAAATTCGAGCGGACCTCCAGAAGTTTGTGCTCATATTGTCTTATTATTCGACACGTCGGGACGGCGTCGAGAAGGGGTCCAGGGACTGAGTTTGCGCCCCCCGATGCGCAACACGCAACACGTAGCGTATTGATACGGAGCTCAACATGCAGACTGAAAACGCAGGTCCGACGAGATACGCTCGCCAAAATGTGGGCCAACACGCTGAGCCAACACGCAACGTACTGACGCGGAAGTTTTAAGCTCAGCACGTGTTGTGTATCAAAACGAGCGTATCGAGGCAGCTAAGATCGGGGGCGGCCAAGATGGGGGCGTTCAAGAGGGGGGGGGGGGGGGCGCAAATCATGACCCGAGGCATGTGCGCGGCCCAGGGGCGGGGACGCATTGAAATAAGAAGAGGCACCATGATATCTGGGGAGATATCATGGCCCACGCCATGACATCCACCCCCCCCAGTCATCATCCCCCTCTTTCGCGAGGCGGAGATTTATCCATGTCCACCGCCTGGGAACCGGCGTCCTGGTGCCCCAGCGGGCGGTGGATATGGACGAATGTTGGCCCCCAGGGGCCCGAGGTATGTCCATATCCACCGCCTGCCGATGCCCCCGAAATTGATCCTCCGGGCGGTGGTCATGCATAACTTCCCGCCTCGGCCTCGGATCTTTGCCGCCCCCGAAACGAGCGTATCGAAGCAGTTGAGAACGGGGAGCTTCCCGGCGCCGAGCCCCGGGACCAACGGGGGAAGCGAACTCTCCCCGTTGGACCTGGGGGGCTGCGGTGCCAGAGTCGCGAGAGGCAGGGAACCAGGGCGGCCCGGACCTCCAGGCCCGGCTTTCGGAGGAGGGGGAGGAGGAGGAGGAGGAGGAGGAGGAGGAGGAGGAGGAGGAGGAGGAGGAGGAGGCGCAGGAGGAGGAGGAGGAGAAGGAGGCGCAGGAGGAGGAGGAGGAGGAGGAGGAGGTGGAGGAGGTGCACTGTTCAGCTTCGTGCATGCCTGTTGTGTTGCCTGATGATCCAGGATGCTCCCAGGTGGTTCCCGCCGTGAGAAAGACTGGCACGGGTCCGAGCGATGCCGAGGCTCGGGACATGAATCTGCCACGGGGCTGCAGGCCCACCCGCCCTCCGGCGAGACGAAGGAAGCGAGAGGGGCGGAGGGCCAGGGCCACGCCAACGGCGATGCGCGACGGCGACGCTGGGAACCAACTCGTAGGAAATCACGATCCACACTGTCCTACACTTCCGATATGCAAACGTGTCAAGCGAAAACGACACCGCGACGTGCAGAAAGCGTGTCAAACGAAAACGACACCGCGACGTGTAGAAAAGCCAGAGCCGCGCGTTCCCACAATGCCGAAGCCTGCATCGCCGCTGCCTGCATCGCCGTCGGCGTGTCTACTAGGAGGAGCAGGCGGGGAGCGCACGATCCAGCACGGTGACATCGTGCACGAAGGGCGGGTGGCAAGGACGCAAGACCATTGGAGGCCGGAGTTGGGCTTTTCGGGGCGGCGGGCGACCAGTGAGAGCGGCAAAGGGCGGGCCGCACGAGCAAGGACAGAGGGGCACCCTGGACGAAGGCGCGCGGCGCGTCCCTACTGGGCGCGTTGACTGTAGCCAGTGCCAGCAGCCGCGCTCTTCTCCCTTCTTTGCCCGCCTGGCGTGCAGTCAGCTCGGCCGTGGCCGAGCAGGTTCCCAAACGCTGCGTGGTCCGCTCCTGCGTCGCTGCAGCAAAACTGGTTGCATTCTCTGTTGTTTGTTGTTCGCTCTGGTTGTCTCGTAGTTCACTCCGCCATGTCACTCGCTCGTGCGTCCTGCTATGTCCGCTTGCTTGTTGGTATCCCCCGTTGTAGACTCCCGTTCTGAGGACCTTCTAGGAACTTCTCGCTCCACTCCTGCGTCCTTGAGTCGAGCTAGAGACGAACTAGAAATGAACTAGAACCGAACAGACCCATTTAAGTGGGCCCCAGCGACGTCCCTATAACGAACATCTCAGAGAAGGGTCTTACGAAAGAGGACGTGACGACCTTACGCTGGGTTTCCGCGAGCCGCCAGCTCGCAGCACGCCGTGTGTCAGAAAGAGGGCGCTCGCGAGGATACCTTGCACGGGTAGCCCAAGTGCTGATGTCTCCTCCTCCTCCTCCTCCTCCTCCTCCTCCTCCTCGTCATCATCATCAGCATCAGCATCATGAGCATAATCATCATCATCGCAATCAGCAGCGTCGCCATAATCGCCATCATCTGCATCATCATCAGTAGAATCATCATCAGCAGCAGCATCATCGTCATCATCGTCATCATCATCATCATCGTCAGCATCATCGTCCTCATCATCAGTATCGTCATCATCACCCTGCCCCCTCATCATTCCCCTCCCCCTCCCCCTCCTCATCCTCCTCCTCCGCATCATCATCATCATCATCATCATCATCATCATCATCAGCATCAACATCATCATCATCATCATCATCATCAGCAACATCATCAGCATCATCAGCATCAGCATCAGCATCATCCTCATCCTCATCCTCATCCTCATCCTCATCCTCATCCTCATCCTCCTCATTCCCCCTCCTCTTTCCCCTCCTCATCATCCTCCTTCTCCTTCTCCTCCTCCCCCATCCCTGCTCCTAATACACAACTTCTCCCTGTCGCACCCCCGCACGTGTCGGTAGGGCGGGCCAGGCGTTCCGCCCGCGACTTCCTCTCCATGTATGATCTTGAAGCTCGAAATCTGCGACAGCTTCCAGGACGGAGGGCGGCTGGCTTTCAAAATGTCGTTCTCGCCTTAGCGCCGCGCACGTTCTTGCTCAGATGTTGCAACAGCTCCGAAGATGGAGGGCGGGTGGTTTTTGAAGTGTGGCTCTCACCTTAGCGCCGCGCACATTCACTCCAAAATGCTACAACACTTTCAAGGGTGTAGGGCGGCTCCGCTTTCGAAGCGTGGTTCTCGCCCTAGCGCCGCGCGCAGTCGTCCCAAAACTTCACAGCAGTGTCAAGGACTCGTATGGTTGTAGCCCCAGGAATGATAGCTATTATGGCACAGCTCAGGATCGCAAGGACGCACTCGTCACGATGATTCCTGGTAGTGACGCCCCGGGAATGGTGTTCTGGTACGGTTTAGGACTGTCGGGACGCAGTCGCATTGATGCGCGGCGTGGACGTCCCAGGCACTATGCTGTGGCACGCATGGTATTCCCACACGCTTATTGAACTCATTCCGATGGGGCACTTCCCGCAATGGAAAAACTGGAGGAATTTTTGAAGAAGGAGTTTGTAGGTAGGTGTATTGCAACACCTTTGATGCATCGTGGATTTCCACTGGTCCTCCTCCTCATCATCACCATCAGCATCGGTATCATCATCGTCAGCATCAGCATCAGCATCATCAGCATCATCATCAGCATCATCTGCATGATCAGCACCATCATCATCCTCATCATCAGCAGCTTCCTCCTCCTCATCCTCATCCTCGTTCCCCCTCCTCGTTCCCCCTCCTCCTCCTCCTCCCCCTTCTCCCCCTCCTCCTCCCCCTCCTCCTCCTCCTCCTCCTCCTCCTCCCCCTCCTCCTCCTCCTCCTCCTCCTCCTCCCCTGCTGGCCAAGACGATCATCTGTGCCCACGCTCCGAGGCCCAGCCACCGACGCCCACATGCCTCACCACCTCCTCCTCTGAAGAGGAAGGAGAATAGAGGAGAGGACAGGAGAATAGAGGAGAGGACAGGAGAGGAGAGGAGAGGAGAGGAGAGGAGAGGAGAGGAGAGGAGAGGAGAGGAGACAATAGAGGAGAGGAGAGGAAAGGAAAGGAGAGAAGAGGAGACAATAGAGGAGAGGAGAGGAGAAGAAAGTCGGGGGCGGCCAAGAGGGGGGCGTCCAAAAAGGGGGGGGGAGGGGGGCGCAAATCATGGCCAGCGGCATGTGCGCGGCCCGGGGGGGATGGAACCAGGGACGTAATGAAATAAGAAGAGGCGCCATGAAATCTGAGGAAACATTATGGCCCACGTCATGATACCCACCCACCCCCTAGTCATCACCCCTCTCTTGGCCGCCCCCGAGAGGGGAGGGAATGAGGAAAGGTCGCCTCGCCGGGGGTCGCTTCGCCGGGTGGGTCGGGACGGGCGGACCCCAAGGGGTCAAAGCGGGTCGGGGCGGGCAGCCCCCGACGGGCAGGTCGGGGACGACGGACGGGCGGGCGGGCGTGCGTGCGGGCCGGTTCGGGCGGAGGCGGGCGGGTGGGGGTGGGCTCAGCCTGCCCAGCGGGCAGGACCTTCTTTTGAGGGTAAAACGAGCCAGACGAAGCAGGATTCGGGCGAGGCGGAGCGCCCCCGGCGACGGGAAACGGGGCGAAGCGAGACCCCAGCGGGTGGAGGAGGAGCGGGGAGAGGAGATCGGAGAGCGGGAACGGGGGGGGCAGGAGGAGGCGGGAAGAAGCCTTCTGCCGGGGGCCACGGGCATGGCGATCCTGGGCGTCGAAGCGGGGGTCGCCGCTGAACAGCCGCAGGGGCGGCGACGGGGCCGAGTTCCTCCCCAGGGTCAGGATGAAGGGGAGACGGTGGGTGGCTACTAAAAGTGTCCACACGTGTCTCGCCAAGACCTTGAGTTATGAAAGCACGTCGGACCAGAATGTATACCCCCCGTCTCCCAAATGTAAAGTTGACGGGTGTGGGCGGTAGGCCACAGGCCAGGGACAAAATGTAGGCACTTCAACTTTGGCTTCGGGGGGAGGGGTGCGAAGCAATGGCATTTCGCAATTGTGGTGGTCATCATGTTGCATCGCCTTACCGCCACGGGTGTGGACACTTTTTGTCCGGGCACCGGAGGAAAAGAAACTCGAAGGGTAAGGGAGTGTTGAGGGGAGAGGGGACAAGGGGAGGAAGAGACAGGCGGAGGGAGAGGACAAGATGGGTGCGCTCGCCCCACTTCTGACACCCGAACCCTTCCGCCCATCCCTTCCCATCACGCTGAATCCGTTTCTATCCGCCGACTGCGGTGTCCTAGAGGACCTTGATCCCCAAGCAGCAGCTGCTGGACTTGACCCATCGCTTGCTGCGCAGTCGTTTTCTTCGGCGCTTCGACACTGCAAATTTCGCAGAAGGGGGTGGGAGAGGGGGGCTGGAGGTCTGGCTCCAGACCTCTGCTTCGTGCGACTGTTTGAAACAGTGCGTCCTGTGGGGGAGACCCCATCTGCTCGAAGCAGGCGCCAAAAACAGCCCAGATCTACCCCATTGGGGGGGGGAGGGGGAGCGGGGGGGAGTGCGAGGGCCCGCGCCGATCGGTAAAACAACGAACAAGAATACGATCACTTCTTGGAGAAGGCGGAGGACGCGGATGGAGAACCAGGGGGAGCAAGAGGGTCAGGGGCAGATAGCAGAGGGGGGGGGGGCAGGAGCGGAGAGGGACGGCAGCGACGACGAGGACCTCGGCTCCAAACTTGTGGCCGGCGCTCGGGCGGGAACGCCACTCTGAGCGACAGGGGCAGAGCACCGATCCGGACCTGCCGCCTGCGCTGCAGCAGGAGCACCACGACTGAAGAGCCGAAAGCGCCCCGATCATAAAAAAATGGAAGTACCAGTGCCTGAACTCCCGCCACCACGTTTGAAGAGCCGAAGGCGCCTCGCTCAAAAAAGCAAGTGGTATCTGCCGGCGTTTGGAGCCCTCCTGCGCACGGGAGGAGCTGCGGGAGACACGGGGGCACACTGGCACGGTGTCAGGGGCGATGCTGCCATCCTCATCCTCATCCTCCTCCTCCTCCTCCTCCTCCTCCTCCTCCTCCTCCACCTCCTCCTCCTCCCCCTCCCCTCCTCCCCGTCCTCCTCCTCCTCCTCCTCCTCCTCCTCCTCCTCCTCATCATCATCATCATCATCATCATCATCTTCCTCCTCCTCCATTTCTTCTCCTTCTAGATAACTTCTCCCTGTCGCACCCCGAGGCCAGCTTAAAGTGCGGGCCAGGCGTTTCGCCTGAGACTTCCTCACCACTTATGACTCTGAATCACAAAGAGTGGCAACAGCTTCACAGATGGAGGGCGGGTGGTTTTCAAAATGTGGCTCTCGCCTTAGCGCCGCGCGCTTTCGTTTCAAGAAATTGCAAGGGCTTCACAGATTGAGGGCGGGTGGTTTTCAAAATGTGGCTCTCGCCCTAGCGCCGCGCACATTCGGATTCAAAATTTGCAAGAGTTTTACGGATTGAGGGCGGTTCCTTTTCAAAATGTGGCTATCGCCTTAGCGCCGCACGCATTCGTTTTCATAATTCGCATGAGCTTCACGGATTGACGGCGGGTGGTTTTCAAAATGTGGCCCTCGCCTTAGCGCCGCCGACATTTGTTTTAAACATTTGCAAGAGCTTCACAGATTCCCATGATCAACGTACCAGAAACTGTGTTTGGAAGGATTCAGGACTCTGCGGGTGCAACGATTATGTTGAATCGCGGTGTTGACGTCCCAAAAATGGCGCTCCAGTCAGGTTGATACGTGGCTTTGAAATCCCGAGGACAATGTTTTCGCATGCTTCAGGATCTTCGAACGGTTGTCTTCCAACGAAGCACTTCCCTCAATGGAAATGAACCGCTGTGGGGGCCTATGAAGAGGGAGCTTGGACGGAGGAATAATTCCAACATCGTTGATGATTCTTGGTTTTACGCTGGTCCTCCTCCTCCTCCTCCTCCTCCTCCTCCTCCTCCTCCTCCGCTTCTTATTATTATGTTTATTCGTCTTCTTCCTCCTCCTCCTCCTCATCCTCATCCTCCTTCTCCTCCTCCTCCTCCTCTGTAGGAAAGTTCGGGGCTACCCTGGGGCCTGCTGGGATAGTCTTGGGCTGTCCTGGCACCGTTGGGGCGTGCTCGAATGCCAAGTGCTGCCTGATAGGGTTTCCGTGATCTTCGATGCCCACCCCACCCCTCACTGGCCTGCGTGCATCGCCACCTCTCCAAGGCCAGAATCCCTCGCGACATACCACGACTTGGCACTCCTGAGGCCGCCATCCCCCGTAAAATACGACAACGCCGCGTTCACGAAGCCAAGATACATATCTTCAAGACGGCCCAGGACGGCTCCAAGACGGCCCACTGTGACCTCAAGACACCCCAAGATGGCCTCGAGATGGCCAACGCGGCCTTCGAGACGTCTCACGCGAGCCCCAACGGCCTTCCCGAGAGGGCCTCGAGAGGCAAAACTGTGTGAATTCCCTCAGGCTATTCATTGAACGGGGGGGGTCCCGCCTTTTCGAGTTCCTGGCGTCCCAAGACGGCCCAAGAGGCCCCAAAGAAAACCCCGAGGCGCCCGAGACTGCCCAAGAAGGCCCCAAGACGGCCCCTGGAAGGGCCTAAGAGGGCCCCAAAACGGCCCAAGAGGGCACCCAAGGTCACCCTAAATCTGGCCCACAGTAGGCCAAGACAGCCACCAGATGGCCCAAACGAGTTTTACGAGGGCTTCTCAGCTAGTGAAGACGAAAGGCATCACAGATGACGGCCTTCCTCTTCCTTCTCTTCCTCCTCCTCCTCCTCCTCCTCCTCCTCCTCCTCCTCATCCACATCCCCGTCCTCATCTACATCCTCATCATCATGCTCATCCGCCTCGTCCTCCTTCACAGCATCCTCATCACCGTCCCTCATCATCCTCCTCATCTCCATCCCAAGCCTCCTTCTCCTCATGCTCCTCCTCCTTCTCCTCAACCTCATCATCATCCTCCTCATCATCATCAGCGGCAGCATCGTCATAATCACCAGCATAATCAGCATCAGCATCATCATCAGCCTCAGGATCGTTAGCATCATCAGCATCAACTTCACCAGCATCATCATAATCATCAGTATCATCATCGGCAGCAGCGACCTGGTCAGCATCATCACAATCACCAACGCCACCACCTTCCAACTCCTCCTCCCCCTCCCCCTCCTCCTCATTGTCATCATCCTCATCCTCCTCCTCCTCATCATCAGCATCACCATAGTCATCCTCATCCTCATCCTCGTCCTCATCATCAGCATCTTAATCAGCAGCATTATCATCAGCATCCTCACCAGAAGCACCAGCAGCATCGTTTTCATCATCATATCATCATCATCGTCATCATCAGCAGCAGCATCATCATCAGCATCATCACCAGCATCATCATCATCAGCAGCATCATCATCAGCATCATCATCATCGTCATCGTCAGCATCATCATCATCATCATCAGCAGCAGCATCATCAGAATCATCATCATAATCACCATCATCACCATCACCATCATCATCACCATCAGCATCATCATCATCGTCGTCATCGTCACCATCAGCATTAGTACTAACATCAGCATTATCAGCATCATCGTCGTCATCATCATCATCAGCATCATCGTCGTCGACATCATCGTCGTTATCATCACCAGTATCCTCATAAGCATCATCATCATCATCGTCGTCACCATCATCATAATGAGCAGAATCGTCATCATGAGCATCATGATCATTGTAATCATCATCATTATCATCATGATCATCATCGCCATTACCACCAGCATCATCATCATCGTCGTCGTCACCATCATCACCATCATCATCGTCGTCGTCATCGTCACCACTATCGTCATCATCATCATCATCATCATCATCATCATCATCATCATCATCATCATCATCATTATCACAATCATCATCATAATCATCATCGTAATCATCATCAGCAGCATCAGAATCGTCATCATCATCATCATCGTAATCGTCATCATCATCATCACCATCATCATCATCATCATCATCATCATCATCATCATCATCGTCATCAACATCGTCATCATCACCACGGATCCCCCAAGTCTAGTAACACGGGATGTCACACGTGACGGCCACCCGTGCCTCCCTCGAACAGTCGCCATCAAGAATGCTGGGCCGGCACGGTGGCGGGACTTGCCGCAGGCAGATGGATGATTTGAATACCTTCAGGGGTCTTCTTAGGAACGTCTGGGGCATCCCTGATCTCTATGTACGTCTGAGGGTTGTGCAGAGGCTGATTGGGCTGGCTTAGCGCCATCTTGAGCCAGCCTGGGGCTCATTTTCGGCCGTCCGAAAGCCTCTTGGGGTGCTCCTGCAAGTTTACAGACATCGCTTGAGGAACCTCTGGGGGCATCTGATGGGACCTGCTCGGGCCCTCCTGGAGCAGCCCAGAAGCCCTCCAGAGGCGATGCCAAGACGAAGGCGGGAACGGTTCATTGTCGGAGGGCTGCTTGCTGCGCCCAGGCGTGAACGCCACTCCTGGGTAAAGAGCGAAGGAAACGTATCGAGCGGATGCTATGGTTTTGTTGGAGGGTCGCTTGTCGCAAAAGAACGAGTCCTGGGAAAACACTGTGGAAGCATCGAGTGGGAAGATTGTTGTTGTGGGGGCGGTCTTCTGCACCCCCTGAAGCAACAAGGCGTGAGCGCCTCTTCAGAGCGACAACAAAGAATCAAACATCGAGCGGGAGCGTTCAATGTGTTAGAAACTTCGGAGGCGAACAGGAGCGGCTGTCTTGAGTGCAACGGGCGACGTATCGAGCGGAAGCGTTATTGTTCTGGTGGGGTCTGTTTGGAAGGCCAGGAGCGAAGAGAAAGGACATATCGAGCGGGAACGTGGATTCTGTTGGACGCCAGGCTTTCGGTGGTGAGCAAGCGCGCCAGTCCTGAGAAGAAAACCTGAGAGTATGCGACGTGAGCGGGCGGTGTTGTTGTTGCTGTTGCATCTTCATATCTAAAGAATAATTGGTGTTGGTCCCCCTCCTCTGGTAACCGTTTTACGTGTCAATTGAAGTGCCCCTCCTCGGGGCCCGCACCCTGTTTTTTATATCAAGGAAAGCCTGGCGTCAACAAACTGCGTTGCTGGGCCCCGAACTACAACAATAACAACAACAATCATGTTAAGACTGATCGCTCTTATCTGTTCGAGTGTCAGTCAACGTGTATTTCCCAAACCCTCGGTACCCGCCCTCTTAGTCTTCGATCGTACCCCCTCTGGTGGGTATGTCTTTATTCCCTGCAGGCCAGGCCCCGGCAAGCGGCGGGGCGGCCGCGGACCGTCGGCCTGGCCAGCGGCAACGCTGACAGGCGGGAGCCCGACACCAAGAGGGACGAACACGGGACCGACCACGACGACGACGACGACGACGACGACGACGACGACGACGACGACGGCGACAACGACGACGACGACGACGACGACGACGACGACGACGAGCGAAAGCGCGAGCGAGAACGAGAGCGACAGCGGGGCCACGAAGGGCAGCGATGGGGCCATGTAGGGCAGCAAGGGGGCCACGAAGGGCGACAGCGGGGCCACGAAGGGCATGCGTATGGGGCCACGAAGGGCGCAAACGAGCGGTGGCCACGAAGGGCAGATAATGCGGTGCCACAGAATGGCAACGACGGGGCCACTGAGGGTAGCAACGGGGCCACGTAGGAGAGCGAGGGGGCCACAAACGGCGACAGCATTGCCACGAAGGGCATGCGGATGGGGCCACGACGGGCGCCAACGAGCGAGGACCACGAAGGCCATACGTATATTGGGCCGCAGAGGGCAAGGACGGGGCCACTGAGGGCAGCGACGGGACCACGAAGGGCAGCGAGGGAGCCACGAAGGGCGACAGCGGGGCCACGAAGCGCATGCGTATGGAGCCACGACGGGCGCGAATGAGCGGGGGCCACGAAAAGCATACATAGAGGAGGCCACGAAGGGCAGCGTAAAGGCCACGACGGGCTGCAACGGGGCCACGAAGGGCAGCGAGGGGGCCACGAAAGGCTGCAACGGAGCCACGAAGAGCAGCGAGGGGGCCACGAACGGCTGCAACGGGGCCACGAAGAGCAGCGAGGGGGCCACGAACAGCTGCAACGGGGCCACGAAAGGCAGCGAGGGGGTCACGAAGGGCTGCAACAAGGCCCCGAAGGGCAGCGACGGGGCCACGAAGGGCTGCAACGGGGCCACGAAGGGCAGCGACGGGGCCACGAAGGGCTGCAGCAGGGCCACGAAGAGCAGCGAAGGGGCAACGAAGGGCTGCAACGGGGCCACGAAGGGCGGCGAGGGGGCCACGAACGGCTGCAACGGGGCCACGAAGGGCAGCGAGGGGCAACGAAGGGCTGCAACGGGACCACGAAAGGCAGCGACGGGGCCACGAAGGGCTGCAACGGGGCCACGAAGGGCAGCGAGATCCCGATTCCTACATAAGCTGTGAAGGGTGTCCTGAGCGTGAGCGCGATTCCTGGGTGCCTCAGTGTCGGGGGCGCGGCGCTTGAGGAAATTGCAAGGAATTCTAACGCAACAGCGCGATTCCTGAGTTAATGGCAAGCACGTCTCCAGCGAGAGCGCGTCTCTAGGGAGCCGAGAGAGCGATTCCTGAATACATCGCAAGTAAGTCCCAAGCGAGAGCACGATTCTTGAGTAAAACGCAAGGAAGTCGCAGGCGGGAGCGGGGGCCCTGGATAAATTGCAAGGCAGTCTCAAGCGGGAGCCGTCGTTGTTGTAATTCGGATGCCAGGGGCGCAGTTTGAGCCTAGTGACTTTCCCTACTAAAAAAACAAAGTGGCCCCGGGGCAAACACTTCAATTGGCCAAACTCAATGGTCACTGGAGGGGGGATCAATAATAATTATTCTTCAGCAATGAAACCTCAACAACAACAACAACAACAACAACAACAACAGCAACAACAACAACAACAACAACAACAACAACAACAACAATAATAATAACAACAACGGCTCCCGCCTGACACTTCCTGATAATGTATTACAAAAACGCGCGCGGGAGACGCCGCGCCCTCGACACTCAGAAATCACGCTCTCGCCTTGGCCTTTCTCACGATTTACTGGTTGGAATCGCGCTATCGCTCAAGCTCTCCTCGCGATTCATACAATACTCACGTTCCCGCAACACGCCTTCTCGACTTGGCCGCTTGGGCCCGCCTTCCCGACCCGCCTGTTAAGGTCTACCCGCCCGAAGCCCTAGCATCACTAGCCCTAGCCCTGGTTTCCTCCTAGCCCCCCTCCTGCGACTCCCGTGTTCCATGCTTCTCCCTCCCCCTTCCATCCGCATTCTCTTCCCGTGTTTCAGGGGCTGCACTCAGTACACGCGGCAGGTAGGGAAGAAATGCCCAAAATGGTAAACGGTCAAAAACGAAGAGGCCGGGTACCGAAGGCTTGGGATACAACTGTTGAACGGCACGCGAGCAGGTTGGAGCCAATAGTCTTAAAATGACTCATGATATTGCCTTCGTTGTTGATGTTGATGTTGTTGGTGGTGGTATTGTTACTGTTGCTGTTGCTGTTGTTGCTGCTGTTGTCGATGGACCCCCTCACCGGTGCACATTGTATTGTCCACTCGAAGTGCCAGCAACAACAGCAGCGGCAACAAGAACAGCAACAGCAATAGCAACATCAACACCTACAACAACAACAACAACAACAACAACAACCACAACAACAACAACAACAACAACAACAACAACAACAGCAACAGCAACAGCAATAGCAGCAGCAACAACAACACAATTGAAGTGCCCTCTCTCTGGGCCCGCACCCTGTTTGTTCTATCAGGACAAGCTTGGCGTCAACCAAACTGCGTCGGTGGGCCCCGACCTACAACAACAACGGCTCCCGCCTGATGCTTCCCCAAAGTGTATTTCAAAATCGCGCGCTCGCGCTGCAACTCCCTCACGATGCAGGAATCGCGCTCTCGCGTGGGACTTCCTCTCAATGTGTTCAGACGCCGCGCCCTCGACACTCAGGAAGCACGGTCTCGCGTTGGCCCTTCTCACGATTTGCTTGGGAGTCGCGCTATCGCTCGAGACTCCCTCGCGATACATGCAGGACTCACGCTTCAGCATCCCGCCTGTTCGACCTGGCCGCCTGGGCCCGCCTTCCCGACCCGCCCGCGAGGGTCTGCCCGCCCGATCTGCCCGCCTGGTTCTGCCACGGGCGTCCTGCTCCTGGCCCCCTCCCAAGTTCTCTCGTGGTCCATCCTTCTCCCTCCCCCTTCCAGCCGTATTATCGTCCGTTTTTGTTAGGGGCGGCGCTGCATGCACGAGGCCGTAAAGGAAGATGCACCCCAAAGGGTGCACGGACAAAGACGACAATGGCGGGTTCCGAAGAGTTCGGGATATGCGTGTTGAATGGCACGCGAGCAGATAGGAACGAACAGTCTTAAAATGATTGTTGCTCTTGCTGCTGCGGCTTTAGAATTCTCATTCCTAAACAAGAACTATTGTTGATCGCCTCCCACGGTGACCATTGCACGTTTCAGTTGAAGTGTTCGCATCCTGTTTCTATCAACGAAAATCTGTGGTCGCCAAACTGGGCCCCTGGCCACCGGTTTACAAGAACAACGGCTCCCCCCTTCTACTTCCTGCCAATGTATTTCGAACTCGCGCTCTCGCGAGAGACCTAGTCATAATGTATCCAGGATTCGTGCTCTCGCGTGGCACCTCCTCACACAATGTATTGCGGCGCCGTGTCCCTCCCAAGATTCACAAATCACGCTCTAGCTTCGGATTTCCTAACGATTCACTTGGGAATCTCGTTATCGCTCGAAACTTCCTTCATGATGGCTTGACGCTTTAGCGACCTGCCCGCTCGACCTGGCCTCATGGGCCCGCCTTCCCGACATGCCCGTTAGGGCCCGCCTGCCCGACACGCCAGGCTGGTTCTGTCGCTTGTGCTGGTGTTCCTGACCATCATCCTGCAAATTTCTCTCGTGCTCCATCCCTCTCCCTCCCCCTTGTCTCTTCACTCCTCCCCTCCTTCCCCTGTTTTGGGGGCTGCGCTATAAACACGTGGCAGAAAAGGAAGATATACCCCCAAGAGGGGGTACGATCGAAGACGAAGAGGGCAAGTACCGAGGGTTTGGGATATACGTGGTGACTGGCACGCGAGCAGATAAGAGCGAACAGTCTTAAAATCAGTGTTGGTGTTGATGATGTTGTTTGTGGTAGTTGGCGTTGTTGCTGCAGCTGGTGTTATTGCTCTTGTCGTTGTCGTTGTCGTATTCGTTGTCGTTGTTGTTGTTGCTGGTGTTGTCGTTAATGTTGTTGTTGGTGGTGTTGGTGTTGTCCTCGCCGTCGTTGTTGTTGTTGCTGTCATTGTTGTTGTTGTTGTTGTTGTTGTTGTTGGGGGCCGGTTTGGGCGCACCCCCGTACCGCTCGAGCGTGAGCCTCGCTTTCAGAGAACACGTGGCTGGCGCCAAAGCGAAAACGCCAGAGCGGAGGGGGGGCCAGCAATGATAATTGTTTCGCGATTCAGGCTCAACAAAAAGCACATCGGAAGTGGGTATGGCGAGCCAAAGTTACAGCCACAAAGAACGCCCAGCGAGCTGACCCAGAGAGCGGAGGGAAGACAGGCAGGGGAGGAGAGAAAGGAAAAGACCGAGCAAGACCTAAGTCAGCCCCTCCCCCAGTCTGCTGCACCCGAGTCTCTCCCCTGGCCTCTGACGCCGTCCCGCCCCCGCCCCCCACCCCCCTGGCCAATACGGGTGCGCCGGGTCGGCCGCCGCGGTGCGCTCAAAGCCCTGCAAGTCCTGCGTGCCCTCGATGCCCAGCGGAACGGGCGAGGGGAGGCGAGGGGAGGCGAGGGGAGGCGAGGTGAGGCGAGGGGAGTGGGGGAGGGGAGGCGGAGGGGAAGGGAGGGGAGGGGAGGCGAGGGAAGGAGAGGAGAGGGGAGGGCGTCGCCGAAGCACACCTCCGCGCCGAAGTCTGTGCTGGGTCCTGCCCTTGCGGCCCATGATGTCAACCTGGCCGCCGTCGAGCTTCGGCAGGCCGTCGATGATCTCATCATCCCCCTCCTCGAAGGCGGCGCCGACGAGGGACGGGGCCACAATGCCGCCATCCTCGACGGTCCTCGGCGCGTCGCTGAGAGCGTCGTGCTCCTGCAGCGTCGGCTCCTGGACCTGCGCCGTGACGCCGAGGGCGCCCGTGAGGGCGTCGCACTTCGCCTTCTCCTCGATGCCGTGCAGCTCGGCCCTGAAGAGCTCCATGGCCGAAGCCTTGATGCCGCTGGGCACCCTGGGCATGGCCGCCACACCTGGCGGCGCGGCGGTCTTCGCCCAGTTGCACTCGGCACGCGCCTCCGCCGCCGCGGGGTGCAGCCCAGCGCCGCCAGCCCCAAGCCGCCGCAGCGCCTCCAGGGCGCCGCCCATCGCGGCGGCATGGGCCCCGACGGCGTCGGACACCTGCCGATGAAGCGCCAGCCCGCGCCGCATGAGGGCCGTGCGCCGCGCGAGAGCCTGGGCGCGGCTGCCGCCGAGCTCCGCCCTGAACTCCCTCCGGCGCTGGCGCGCGAGGGTGCGGGCAGAGGCGGCCGCCAGGCCCCTGCCTGCCCGCCTGGCGTCGTCGCCGCTGATCCCCGCGAGAACAGCCGCCGTGGCCGCTTGCGCGCCCCAGGGCGCGCGGTGCGAAGGCCTCCCGTGAGCCTGCTCGCTGGAGCCAAACTGGCTACGGGGAGGAGGAGGAGGAGGAGGAGGAGGAGGAGGAGGAGGAGGAGGAGGAGGAGGAGGAGGAGGAGGAGGAGGAGGAGGAGGAGGAGGAGGAGGAGGAGGAGGAGAGGGAGGAGGAGGAGGAGGAGGAGGAGGAGGAGAGAGGAGGAGGAGGAGAGAAGGGAGGAGGAGGAGGGAGGAGGGGGAGAAGGAGGAGGGGGAGGAGGGGGAGGATGTGAGGAGGAGGAAGGAGGAGCCCTCCTGGTCCTCACCCCCCTGATCCTCACCGGCGGCACCACCGCCTCCCGCTCATTCTCCTCCCGCCCACCAGCACACACACCCTCTACGATATACCTATACGACCACCCTTCGGGTGATAAGGAGGTTCGGGGGGGGAGGAACCAACGTCTCACTCGATCGGTCTCACTATCGATCTCACTATCGGTCTCGATCGATCAATCTCACTCGATCAATATCACAATCGATCTCACTCGATATATTTCATTCGATCGATCTCACAATCGATCTGACTGTCAATCTCACAATCGATCTCACTATCGATCTCACAATTGATCTTACATTCGGTCTCACTATCGATCTCACGATCGATATCACAATCGATCTCTCAATCAACGTCATCATCATCATCAACATCATCGTCATCAACGTCATAAACATCATCATCATCATAATCATCATCATCATCATCATCAACAACATCATCACCACCACCACCACCACCACCACCATCATCATCATCATCATCATCATCATCATCACCATCATCATCGGGACACCATCAGCATAATCATCACCTCATCACCATAATCATCAACATCATTATCATACTCGGGACACCATCATCGTCACCATCATCATCAACATCATCATCATCATCGGGACACCATCATCATCAGCATCGGAACACCACCATCATCATCAGCATCATCTCATCATCATCATGAACAACAACATCAAAATCATCATCATCGGGAAATCATCATCATCATCAGCAGCAACCTCACCATCATCAACATCATCATCATCGGGACACCATCATCAAATCATCATCATCACCATCATCATCATCATCATCATCATCATCATCGGGACACCATCATCATCAACACCAGCATCATCATCGGGCCACCATCATCAAAATCATCATCATCATCATCACCTCATCATCAATATCATCATCATCGGGACACTATCATCGTCATCATCATCATCAACATCATCACCATCCGGATACCATCATCATCACCATCATCATCAACAGCATCATCATCATCATCAACCTCATCATCACCATCAACATCGGGACACCATCATCATCATCATCATCATCATCATCTTCATCATCATCAGCATCATCAGCATCATATCATCATCATCAGCATCACCAGGATCATCAACATCATCATCATCATCATCATCATCATCAACATCGTCATCAACATCATCATCATCATCGGGACACCATCCTCATCATCATCAGCAACATCAGCATCATCTACATCATCATCAGGACACCATCATCACCACCATGGCCATCATGATCACCATCATCATCAACATCGTCAACATCATCATCATCATCATCATCATCATCAGCATCATCATCATCGGGCCACCATCATCATCACTACCGTCACCATCATCAGCATCATCAGCGACATCATCAGCATCATCAGCATCATCATCAGCATCATCATCATCATCATCATCATCATCATCATCATCATCATCATCATACACCGGCGAAACACCGCGGGCCACCGGACGCCGGAAGGGAGTCATTTGGTCCAGCCGCGCCTCAGCCACAGCGGGACACCGGCGGGACACCGCGGGCCACCGGTTGCCGGAAGGGAGTCATTTGGTCCGGCTGCGCCTCAGCCACAGGAGACTTTCCTCTCGCCCGCCCACGCAGCTTCGCCTCGCCCGCACGCACGGCACGCACGAACACGAAACCGAAACCGATTTCCCGGTAGGGGGGCTCTCCGTTCCACTTCGATCTCACCCCCTCACCTCCGACACTAAATCCCGATCAACCGCAGAGGCCAGCTAGAATCTGTATCGTCATCATCAGCAGCATCAGCAGCCGCATCAGCATCAGCAGCCAGCAGCAGCCAGCAGCAGCCAGCAGCAGCATCATTATGATCATCAGCATCTGCATCAGCATCATCATCAACAGCATCATCATCATCAACATCGTCATCAACATCATCATCATCATCATCATCATCAGCAGCAGCAGCATCAGCATCAGCATCAGCATCAGCATCATCATCATCATCATCATCATCATCATCATCATCATCATCATCATCATCATCATCATCATCATAAGCATCATCATCATCATCATCATCATCATCAGCATAATCATCATCATCATCATCACCATCACCACCACCATCAGCAGCATCACCCATCATCATCACCAGCAGCAGCATCAGCAGCATCATCATCATCATCATCATCAGCAGCAGCAGCATCATCATCATCATCATCATCATCATCATCAGCATCATCATCATCGTCATTATCATCAGCAGCAGCAGCAGCATCATCATCATCATCGCCGCCGTCGTCGTCCTACAGACCCTGTCTACGTATGACTGACCTCTCTGTGACACCGAGCCTGGCGACCTGGCATCTCTCTCTCTCTCTCTGTGTTTCCAGCTGGTTGGGTGGCACCTCTCAGTCTTCATCTCTTCCACCCTGGGCGCGCGCGCAGTAGCACAGCAGCTACCCACGCTGCCCGAGGGAGAGGAGGACACACCCGGATGGCCCTCTTTGCGTGGCACAGCAGTGGCAAGCGAGGCAAGGATGGAGCAGCAGAACAGCCACCGGCGGGGACGAAGAGCAAGGGAGGCGCCAAGAGGGGGAAGGATTAGGTCGGGCCCGTCCCCCTACAGGCGGATTTGGGGCGGAAAATTAAGAATTGACAAAGAATACCCCCAATCAGAAATAACCGAAAAATCGCCGCCAGGCTATTTCTGGACTGTTTTTGAACAGTCCTCCTGTAGGAGGGACGTGCCCGACTTGAGGGGAAGGGCGGCCAAAAGGGGCGACAACGGCCCCGTGCAGGCTACCACGAGGCGGATCCCGACACACGCTCACGGGAGAAGGGGCGAAGCGAGCGCAGGCGACGCTCTGCCGCTTCCAGCCCGACGCCGCGTGCGAACTGGTGCAAGCCTTAGGTCGGGCGTGTTCTCCTACAGGGGGGGGGGTGGGAGAATAATAAAAAAATACCCCAACAAATATTCCAAAAGTGCTCAAAGATAGTCAACAAAAAATCGTCCCCATACTAGTTTTTGGCTTGGCTGTTTTTGAATATTCCCCCTGTAGAGGGACAGGCCCGACGTAAGTCTACAGCTTCCAGCCCGACGCCAAGTCCGAACTGGTGCAAACCTGCATGCGCCCGGGCCGCAAATACGACGAAGCCTCCAAAGAATGTCCAGGCCCAGCAGAGGAGCGGCGAGACGGTCAAGCCAGGCTCCCCCCGCATCTACACATCTGCATCGCGTTGATGGTCGAAGTTTCTCCTCTCCAATTTTCTTGTATACCACGCCCTCCCCGCCCCAGTCACATCCCACCCCCCAGGGCAACGCTCAGCATACAAAAACCACGGCCAAGGAGGGATTCTTGCATACCAGACTCACGACCAGGACCCTCGCCCACCCACCAGGGCTTTTGGGTACAGTGTCTGTATATATATATATATATATATATATATTCATACATACATACATACATACATACATACATACATACATGCATGCATGCATACATACATACATACATACATACATACATACATTCATTCATTCATTCATACATACCTACATACATACATACATACATACATACATACATACATACATACAATACAATACAATACAATACAATACAATACAATACAATACAATACAATACAATACAATACAATACAATACATACATACATACATACATACATACATACATGCATGCATGCATGCATACATACATACATACATACATACATATATATATATACATACATACATACATACATACATGCATACATACATGCATACATACATACATACATACATATATACATAC